GCCTTTTCTGATGCGGATTATGGAGGATGCAAATTAGATAGCAAAAGCACCTCCGGTACTTTCCAATTCCTTGGAAATATGTTGATTTCTTGGTTTTCAAAGAAACAAAATTGTGTTACATTATCTACCACTGAGCCGAATACATTTCAGCCGGTAGTGTGTGCACAAGTTTATGGAGAATCACATTTACTAGATGTTAAGAGACTCTTTAGATACCTTAAGGACACTCTTAATTTAGGACTTTGGTATCCTAGAGACTCTAGCTTTAACTTGCATGCCTTTTCTGATGCGGATTATGGAGGATGCAAATTAGATAGCAAAAGCACCTCCGGTACTTGCCAATTCCTTGGAAATATGTTGATTTCTTGGTTTTCAAAGAAACAAAATTGTGTTGCATTATCTACCACTGAAGCCGAATACATTTCAGCCGGTAGTTGTTATGCACAAGTTTTATGGATGAAACAACAACCTTTTGATTATGGAATTGAAGTAGGTACTATTCCTATCAAGTGTGACAATACTAGTGTTATTTGTCTCACTAAAAATCCCATCCAACACTCTAGAACTAAGCACATTGAAATTAGACATCACTTCATTAGAGACCATGTCACTAAGGAAGATGTAGTTTTAGAATTTGTTGATACTTTGCACCAATTAGCGGACATCTTTACAAAACCTTTAGACAAGGAAATATTTTGGACACTTATGAGATAATTAGGTTTAACTGACCTATATTCACTTAGTGTTTAAAATAATTTTAACACTTTTAAGAATAAATGAAAAATGCTTATAATAAATTTTGATTGTATTCTTTGCTATTAGTTAGGGGGAGTTTATGATTCTTTGTGAAAAATTGATTATATGTTCAAATAAATTTTAATGATAAATTTGATTGATTGAACATAGTTAATTTTTCGTAATATGAGTTGACAATACCACTAGAGCAAATTAATTTAGCATTTTGAGTGTTTAAAATCAAATTTTAGTAGTTTTAGTGCAGAAGGAACCGATTCCCCCTTTGAAGGGGAATCGATTCCCCTTTGAAGGGGAACTGATTCCCCTTGTAGGGGAATCGATACCCCCTGGGGGTTCTGGTTATATCACGCAGAACACCCTATTTTTCTCATAACCCTCTTCTTCTCCTTCTTGCCTCCATTCACTCTCTCTATCTCTCAAATCTCCACTTTACTTCAAAACATCGATTTCTAATCTGAATTACTTCAAATATCATCTCCTAAACCTGTTGGAATCATCAAACTAGTGCAAAAATATCACATTCTCACAAAATCCGAAAATCTTCAAGGTATTTTTCTAAAACTTCTATTTTATCAATTTTTGAACATATGACTAGTTTTAATTAGTTCTAGATTGAAATAGTGATCGAGCATTAATTGTTTAATGTTTAGAAACTAGATTTTACACTAATTTCATCAAAATCTCACAATTTTTCCATTAATTTTGAATTTTCGAAATTAAAAAAAATTGTGTTTTGATTTAATTATGTTGTTACTATGAAAACTATACACATATTAATTTTTCAAAACTTGTTTTTCAAACATTATTTTCAAAAACTTTGCCCATTAGGATTGGTTTAGAGAACCTCGAAATATTGAGGACTCAATTGAGTTTTGGGATTGATTATATTGCATACATATGTTTTAAAATTGCAAGTTGTTCTTTCCATTCTGATTACCTTAAATCATGTCTCATAAGCGTTATAGACCTTCCTCTAGTCGTTCTAGCCAACCTCCAAACTCACCTCCAAATCCTCCACCTATCCAAAAAATTCCTAATCCTAATCCCGATGATCCAAACATAACCATTCGCAATTCTTGCTTTAATGAACCCGGTCGTAGACAAAATCTATACTTTAGATTTTGTCAATACTTTGAGTCTTACAAAATCCGGGAAGAACGAATCTCATCCCTTCAAGCCATGTTAGACATCAATTTTCAACATCTTCCTACCCTTCAATAATGGAAATTTGATAAACTCTTTGAGCTTGAACCAATAGTTTACCACCAACTCGTTCGTTTCTTCTACTCTAATGCCATTTGCATTCAAAACCGGGAGAAACCTTAACCATAGGAATTTGATCCTATCTTCTAGGACAATTCTTTCATCTTGACCCGGAATACATTGCCACGCATTAGGATTAGATAATGACGGGTTAGACAATGAAAAACTAACGGTAGGATCTCAGTATAAACGAAGGGATAGTGTTAGTGTTTTAGATCTTCATGACCGTTTTCTTTATCTAATGATCTCTTGGTGGTTTCGACCATCTGGAGGACGTTACTCTACTCTTCGAGCCTTAGATTTATTTTGGCTACATTGTGTCCAAAATAATCTTAAAATCAACCTTCCACAGATTATCTTTACTGAACTTGTCGAAAACGTAAATCTTGTTCCCAATAAGAAATTATGTTCATCTTTAGTTTACGGTTGTATTATAAGTAATATGTTCAAAAAGGTTGGGCTTAGAGTTGGTCTTGATGCTTCCTTTCCCCTCAAAAACCAAATCAACCTATTCTCTTTAACTAAATCGGGATAGAAGATCAATGAAGAAATTGGTCTTTGGGTTCGTACTCATGAACAACCTCCAGAAGCCGACGAAACAGACGATGAGCCGGAGCAGCACGAAGAACAAGCACAACCAGAAAACCAAATGCCTCCATACTTTCAATCCTTTATGGAGACATTCGATTTATGATATGCATCCATGGATTCTCGTTTCACTTCCATAGAGTCTCATTTATCCACAATGGGAGCTTAACAATTGGAAATTCTTCGGGAGATGCGCACGAACAATGCTTATATGAATGAACGCATTAATGCACTCTCACATGAGATTACCGCTATGCGAGCTCATTTTCCTTTTCCCGATCCTCCTACGGATGCTTGATTCTTTGTCATGCTTTAGTACTTTGAAATAGAACTTAGAGATTATTGTTTCAACATTTTGAATGACTTTGAATTGTTTTTACTTTGGTTGTTGGATATTTGAACTTATTTCATGGTTTATGGATGTTTGAACTTATATTTCTATATATTTGGTTTGGTTAAATTTATTCATTATTGCATCATTTACATCATGTTAGCTATATGACCAATTTTGCCAAGTCACATTGCTTATGAATATTGATTATGAAACTAATTGCTAACATTTCTCTTGATTGTGATCTTGGCAGCTTAAAGCTTTAAAATTCTAAATCAATTGTCTAATGTTTTTCAAAACCTTGTTTTATAATCCTTATCGAGTCTTTTTGATTTAACAAAAAGGGGGAGAAAGTGTTAAAGTGTTTTAAAGGGGAGAAGTGTTAGAGTAAGGGTGTGTAATTTCAAACTAATTTCAAACTTGATTTCAAAATCTTAAAATTAATAAAATGTTTTGTTATATCAAAAAGGGGGAGATTGTTAAAAACATTTTGATATTTCAATATAACAAATTAAGTTAAATGAATTTTAAGATTTTCCAAAAGATTTTCTAAGTATATTCGATATAATTATTCGAATATCAAAATATTACTCCAAATCTTTCAAATGTCATTTTTATCCTTACTCAAGTGTAAAATTAAGTTTTAATCTTAAAATAATTTCAAAACAATTTTACAAAGTATTTCGAACCATTTCAAAGCCAAAAATTTCAGATTGTCCAGAGGGAACCGATTCCCCCTGAATGGTTTGGCTCCGAGAAAAACATAATGCTCGGAGGGAACCGATTCCCTCTGATCAACGGTCGAAATATTTGAATTTTACACTTAGGGAACCAATTCCCTATGAGGGGTATCGATTCCCCCCACACTCCAAGTTGTTTTATTAATTAATTTCACACTAAAACGACTCCAATGACTCCACTAATTATCCCCAACGTTTAGAATCAATTGAAGGAATATTTAAACAAGCTTAGAAGCCATTGATCAATAATAATAAACAACAATCAACAAGAATCAAGAGATAATTAAATAGAAAGCATCAAACCTCAAGTTTGAGCATTTTTAAGCCTATTTCATTCAATATTCACTTTTGCTTTCAAGAACACTTATTGTACTCAATTATATTATTATTGAGTGTTCTTTCTTTGTTTTAGAATTGTGCAAACATCTTGCCTTGTGAGGATTTTCTTGTAAGTTTGCAAAATTTGTATTGTTCTCTTTGGGAGAGAGTGTTATCAAGAATTTGAGGTATAATTCTTAAGGGATTTGTAAGGTTACTCTTTATCCTCAAAAGAAAGACAAATTAGTGAATTTGTGGAAAATCCTTAGTGTGGATAGCTAAGGTAGTGGACGTAGACTTTGATTAAGAAAGTCGAACCACTCTAAATCCATACGCAATTACTTTCAATTTTCTACAAAGCTTCCACCGAAATTTTAATTTGCCAATTCACCCCCTCTTGGCCAATTTCATCGATCGATTAGCTCAACACCAATTCACCCCCCTCTTGACCGATTATATCGATCGATTAACTCAACACCTTTGTATATATACATTTTTTTTTGTTGTAATTAATTTCTTTTTTCCTTAATTTATTTTATTTAATCTAATATATTTATATATATATTATTATTATCTTTTTTTGTTTGTTTTTATTTTTTCTTCCTTTTGTTTTTGTTTTTATTATTATATATATATATATATATATATATTTTTTCTCTTATTTATTCAATTTAACATTAATATTTATTTTTTTCAACTTTTTTTCTTTTTTCAATTTTTTTCAACATTTTCAACATTTTCTTTTTTCAACTATTTAATTTTTTAATCTTTTTTATTTTTTCCTTTTTGAATATAAAATTATTATTTTTCTAATTTTTTTTCTTTTTTTCTTTTTTTAATTTAATATTTTTTATTCTTTTTATTCTTTTATTTATTTCTTTAAAAATTTATTTTTTATTTTTTCTTCATTTTTTTTCTCTTTAAACTTGATTGTATATTTAATTTAAAAAGATTATTGTTTTACATTTTGTTTGCTTAAACGGTTTCTCTTTATTCAGTTTTTGTTTCTGCTGTCATAATGGGAAAATGGGTGCCCGTAGAAGATCTGGAAAAAAAATAAGGGCTTCTAATGGCTGATAATGCCGGTGTAGATGCGGGCAATCTTAATGTTGTAAGAGAAAATGATGTCGCCATCATGGAACAAGGTCCGAAAGTGGTGGAAGAAGATGTGAATATGGAGGAACGCCAACAGGTTGAGAATTCAAAGACTTTCGAAAACGGTGACATCCATGACAAAATTGTGGCAACCCCAACTATTGCCCCAAAGGTAATGTTTATTTAGACATGTTTCTGTTTTGTTCTTCCTTTTTTTTGTTCGGAGTCTTTATTTATGTTGTCCTCATTATGGAACACTGCAGAAATGTGATGACCTGAAGACCTCGACTTCATCAAGCAAGAAAAGAACAAATTCTTTGCCAAAGTCATTGCTCCCTGGTAAAGCATCCAATTCTCCAGTACCTCCTTCTAAACGGCTTCGGGACAAGCTAGGAATGATGCTGATGTTGCTAAGTCGATCGGGAACTCATATGACAAGAAGGAAACAATGCCGAACCTGCTCCACATGTCATTAAAATTTTCTTCTAGCGCCGGTAAAACTAATAGATCAGTAAGAACGTTGAGAGATATTGCAACTCCTCCACAAATGCAAACTAGGGTATTGAAGAAAGCTTCTGATCAAGAGAATTTAGCTACTTCAAGCGATTTTTTTTTTTTTTTTGCAAATTCCAAGTTATACAATCATGGTGGAGTATCCAAACAAGCAACTTCTAGAATCGAAAATAAGTCAAATAACCATGCTTATATTAATAAGAAGCCCGCATTAGACTCAAATGAGCAGAAGAGAAAAACTATAAAATCCCTTCACATGTCGATGGATTTCATATGGCGTGCTGGTGAAGCCGCTAAAACATCGCCTAAGGTATCCAGAGACTTTTGACACCACTACAAACTCCAAGCAGGGTAAGTTGTCTATCGCTGTATGTATTTGTAGTTCTATTTGCACATTCAAGAGTGGATGACATATTTATGTTCACAAGTGAAAAATCATAATATTGTTTGACATTTTTTTATTTAGAATTCATTTCGAGGTTACTCAATATTTAGTAAGTAGGCACCAAGTGGTTTGGAATTTTCAAGTGATTAAGAATAGTTTCATTCACAAACTGCAGGCATCTGTTAATGGGGGTTCAAAGCATGCTTCCAAAGTTCTTCAATCAAGAGATGAAAGGTAATCTTCACACTTGAAATGTCTTTGTTAACACGTTGTTTAATGGGGTTGCAATGGCTTCTGTATGTTCTTTATTACTATTCTGTATTGAATGTGTGACAGCTGCTCGAGATCTTCGTATGCAAGTAGAACCAGTACAAGATCCTCTATTAGTTTGTGTCCATTTAATGGTTCCAGAAGTCTTCAATCACTAGATGAAAGGTAATCTTCACTCCTGAAATGTATTTGCTGCACTTTGTTTAATGCGGTGCAAATGCAATGGCTTCTGTATGTTCCTTTTTCCCGATTTTACTTTATAGACCAGGTCTCAGATACCACTGTCCTAATTACCGAAGCCTGCCTTATATGAACCTCATTACTATTCTGTATTGAATGTGTGGCAGATGCTCGAGATCTTCGAATGCAAGCGGAACCAGTACAAGATATTGTACTAGTTTGTGTCCATTTAATATCAAGAGCGAAGAAAGGGCGGAAAAACGAAAAGAGGCAGGCCTTACCATTCCATTTTTCTCATTCTTTATAATTGTCATGGTTTCAAATTGTACCAACCTTACTGTTTCCTTGCAATTTCAGTTCTTTAAGAAGCTAGAAGAGAAAATGAAAGAAAAAAGGCAGAGAAATCACAAATGCAAATAAAATCGAAGGTACTGCAAAACAGACAACTTTGTCTGTAATCGACGAAGCCCTGCAGTTCACGAGTCGAGTCTCCTAAATTTCAAAGATGCGAACTATTTGAAGAATCGTTTTAGATGCATTGCCTGATTTGATATAAGAGAAAAATGTTATACATGCATACTTGATCTCTGTGTGGTCATAATCTCATTTGCTGCTTTGCATGTCAAACTGATTTATTGCCTGATATGATGTGTAGGAGAAAGAGAAGGATGACATGACTAAAATAAGGCAAAGGACGGAAGCGAAAGCTAAATCAAACGAAGATTCATGCCATGGATCACAGATCCAGCACAATAACACTAACAAGGTTCTTATCTCCTAACCAGTAACTTTCATTTTATGCTGACAATGATACAATGGAATTAACCATGCTTTAACTTATGCTGATTTCCTGTTTATCATCTTGAACAGCTTAACCTCGGGTTTAAATTTTTGTTCTCTATGCTTCGAAATGAACTAAGTTAGCCTCAAGTTGCATTGTCAGTTATACACACACACACACACACAAATGGTTACATTGTCTATGATCCTTATTTCTCTTGATGATCAGTAGATGTTCAATGAGCCTGTGTTGTCAATTTGACAGTAAATTTCGTGCCTTGCAGATCACTTCAAGTCGGCCTCAATCACCAAAACTCGGAAGGAAACCATCCTACAGCATGGTGCAGAGTGCAGACTCTAGACCTCCAACGAGGCCTTCCGCAAGTACCGAGAGCTCTAAGAATGGATTAATGAAAAATAACAGGATCTTGGGGACCGCATTGCCAAAGAACAGGCATGAAAATGCTTCCCCCAATATACAGCTTTCAGTTGGCAAACTGGGTATTCCATATAATCATGAAAATGGCGGATCAGTCAACGGTGGGTGCAGCTGATGAGACCTTATAGGTTCTTTAGTAACAAAAATTATAGAAACCGAAAATAATGTTTTTTGTGAGATAAAAGATATCAAAGAGCAGTTTGTAACATTTTTAGTGGCAAATTCCACATCAATTATAGGTACAAATTTGGGAAGAACCTTAGCTATCTCTCTGCATATAAAATTTTCTGGCTTTTTTACGTACTTTGGATAATGTTAGCTGTTTATAATAAATCTAACACCAAGTTATTATGCAGATTTGAATTTTGAAACAAAAAAACAAGAATAAAAGCCAAAGTAAGATATCCATTCATGTCACTTATACATGCATATTAATACAGCACTAACAGATGCAAATCCCAGGTCAGAAAACTTATAGCAGTAGAATTATTATGTTTAAAGTTTTATCACAATCTGTATTACACATGTTTTTCAACATCCAAGTCCAAACTGCTTATGAAAATGGCATCCAATTGAAGTACTCCACTTATAGATATCACCTGATATAAGAAAAGGATAGCAACTTCAAGCTACGCAAACAACCCTTGATCGATTGCATAGTATTCTGTAGGATCGAATAGATGCTCGTGGTCGAACCTCTGTGCATCGTACATGTAGAATGGAGTTTCGGCTATGAGTGCTGGATCGTTGTACTAGAACAATCAAAATCCTGGAGAGCAAAGTTAATAGGATAACTATCACCTTGAAGCAGCAGATTGCAAGTCCTCAGAGAATGATGCTAAAGGAACTCCTATGCCGGCAGCATTCAGGTTTCTCTGTGCAAATTCCGAGTCAGCGAGGCAATTCTGACTGATGTCCTTAGTTTCAGGCTTGATTTGGTAGCAGATATGGGGTTGAAAATTTGATTCTTCGGCATTTGGTTTTTGGTTTGAACCGGAAACAAGTCAACTAAGTCGGCTAGACTTAAATGCTGGACTACTTCAGTTCTTCTTTGGTTAACCTCTTTGGTAACCATGGAAGGTTCAGGCAGTGGCAGTTGGTTGAATCCATTTTCAGGTTTCAAGGGATCACTTGTTTGGACTGAATCTCAGGAATTTCGGTCCAGGAGTACCGAGCTGGGGTGGTCGAACCGAATGATGCAAAGCTTACACCTGAATCAACTGATCCAAGGGAATGATCAAAGCTCAACTGTGAACTCTTGGTTTTATGAGGATCAGGAATATCTTCAGACAAAGCTCCTTTTGGCTCTGTCATGGAACTGAAGTAATTCCATTCGATCACCTCGACCTTTGAGATCGACACTGAGCAACCAAAGTTATTCCGGAAAAACTATAGGTACCATTCAGCACATCATCAGGCATAGTTCATCGGTTTATGGTGACCGAAATTGGCAGTCGAATCATTCAAAGGAGGATCTGAATGTTTCATTCCAACAAATGAATTCTTGACATCACTATCCTTCTGCAACCTGCTCAAATAGAGTCGATATTCTGCACAAGAGAGTTTCTCTATAAGAATCTCAACAATGTCTTAGATTATTGACAATTACACTCTTTTTTCACAAAACTATAGGTACCATTCAGCACATCAGGCATAGTGTTCATAAAATCCTTTTTTTTTCCTCGAAAAAGAACTCTCTTTTCTACCGAAAATATTTGACAAAATATTCATCAACAGTTGTTTTGCTTTACCTGCAAGTGACTGGCGACGTTTTCTCTTGTCAACCATGGTACATTCATCAGGTCAAGTATTTTCTTAGGACCTACTTCTGTCAAACAGACAATAAACAACAACATGAACACGATGTGTTCGAACATGATCATAAACCATAGCCATATCACTGAAAGAGATATACTGCTACTTCTTGATGATGATCAAGAGAGTTTGAAAGTATACTTACTATCGAATCCGATCTGATTTACCGCTTTGACAAATTTTTGGTGAAGGTCTACTGTCCAAACAACTCTTGCTTTCTTGGTAGATGAAGGATCGGTAAGGTCTCGATCTTCATTCTTGTTATCGGCATCTTTTCTTTTCCTTCCCGAGGTTGTATCGTCTCCACCGAGGAAGTGCCCGTCGTTGAACAGATCACAGCCACTTCTAGTCATCTGAAGACTTTCAATACATTCAAGACTTTCAATGTCTCTCACCTCATTTATCTTCTTTCTGAACACATGCTGCCATATATTGCGCAGCTCTTTCATTCTTATAGGCTTGAGAAGGTAATCACAAGCACCATGTTGGACACCTTTCATCACTCTGCTTGTCTCCCCGTCAACCGACATCACTGTATGTTTTAAATAAATCGAGCTCGTAAGACCTCGATCCCATTAAATCCAAGAACGAAAACGGAGCGAATAACGTTTAAAACAAAGGTTTGTGTGTTACGGTAGAGAACTGACTAATGACAGGCAAGTCCATTTCCAATCCGACGTGTTCGAGAAGTTTAAAGCCGTCCATGTCTGGCATGTTAACATCGCTGATAACAATGTCATAACCGTCCTTCCTTTCGCGAAGCAAGCTCAGAGCATCTCGTGCGAGGCCACATGTAGTCACTGGAACATGGGAAAGCACCATAAAAGAATGTTTAGGATACCATAGAAATATGTCTCTGACTTTCCTAATTCTAACCAGAAGTCATGTGATCATGTCATAAACTACAGGATAGGTCTAAGAAATTTCTAGAACTTTATGATCAATCAACCTAGCCATGATCTCTACCATGCATGCATGTTCCTAGTTCACTGATAATTACCAACTAGAAAGCCGAATTGCGGGGAAAAAAGGCGACAAAGGATCAGTTGAGGGACTCAGTGCTAGGTAGAACAACATCATGTAATTGATATTTGCAGAACAAATTTTGTTATTAGATGCAAAATCTATTCACCAACAACACAACCAGCAATGTCCAAACTCTTAAACCTACCAATTAAAGGGAAAAGAAGTTCAAAACCGAACAGTTTATCATACGGAAAAAGAAAGCAAAACCCAATGAACAGTACAGAAGAATGAAAACAAAGGAAACAACTGCCCCATGTATTATTAGTAAAAGGTAACAACGTATAGTTGATTTAAAGACAAAAGTTTGAAGAAAACGATGAGTAACCTTCGTAAGAACACTTCTTGAGCATCTTTTCGAGGATTTTCAACCAGGTAGGATCGTCATCGACGACGAGAACCCGGAGACCGGCGGGGAAAACATCGTTTCGAGAAGAAGAGAAACCACTTTCACGGAACACCATGTTTTTTTGTTGGTCTTCTCGTAGGGATTCTAGGGTTAAAAAAAGGGCAGAAACGAGGGTGGTTTAAATGGAAAGCTAATGCTCTTAAAAGGGAGGAGAAGAGAAGAAGGAATGACAGTGGGTTTAATAAAAGAAGAAGAATAGGAGAATGAAAGTGAGTTTTTTAAGCCAAAGGTGACGAGATTCCCGGTAATTTTGAACCATTACCACAATTGGTTGAATTTAAAAATGTTAAGAATATCATTATCATTATCATTATATTATGCTACTACTACTACTATTATTATTTGGTTACATATGCTATTATTATTTTTGTGTTAACAAATAGCGGGTTTAAATTATAATAAAAATAGTACGAACCAACTTACTTCAGTAGTTAAAGGAATTGATGTTGTTTTTAGAAGTCACAAATTTGAACATCGCTACTGCATTAGGGGTGATTGAGCGTTCATTGTCAAATAATTATAGTATTTAAAACATATACTATTTTATAATCACCTTAGTTTAATCAAAGAAATATAAAAAATAATCGATGGTAAGCTTAAGTTTGATACAAATTCGACGTTTAGTTCGAGTTCGATTGAATATCATTAGTAGAGTTTGATTACACTCATTTATATTTAAATTTGAATTTGAATTAGATTAAAGAACCGTTTACTTGTTAAATAAGGATGTTTATGTAAATTAATAATATAAAATATTTAAATATATTAATAAAAGTTTAATTAGGCTAATGAGTAGTTCATATCGGGACTTATGATGTTCAAATTCGATTAATAACTCAAATTATTTGATTTCCGAATTGATGATTATCGAATCAAATTTAAATTAATTTCCGTATATTAATGTTTCATTATTTACACCTCAGATAGTATTAAAAAAATTAGCTTAATTACTTGAGAAAAAACTAGAGTCAAACTCACAAATTATTTTTAAAACAATAAAATATTATAAAATAATCCCTCGATTTATAAAAATAAATCGGTCCTTTCTATTAATTTTTCAATTGTAGCCCTTCACTTTACACAGTCTTTTAATTTAGTCATAATTCTAAAAAAAAGAAGCCTTAATATTTACAATTTATGGTACCACTTTCATCTTCTATACTAATCTCTTTAGGGTGCGTTTGGTTCACGGAATGTAAGATTATCAGTGGGAATAAAAGATTATCAGGGAATATGATTACTGAGAATGTTGTATTTTGTGTTTGGTTGGTTTAGCAGGAATTTAAGATTACCGTGTTTGATTAAAAGAATAAAAGATTATTGGATTATATTTGATCAAATTGTCCTTATTATATTTGTTTTTTAACAAGTTAAAAAATATTTATATATTTCTTTAAAAATTTAAATTCATAAAATTTATTATATATTTTTTTACAAAATTGAAAATATAAAAAAGTTTAATGAAAGGGTAAAATTTTATTTTAACCCCTAAACTTCATATAAAATTTTAATTATAGACTTTTTTTATAAATATAAAATAGTTTAAGGATAAATTTGTAACTTAACCTTCGTAGAATTTTTATTAGTCAATGACAGAATAAGGATATTTTTTAAAGAAATTTTTTTAAGGACATTTTAGTCCAAAACGCCGGTAATCCAACAATACCTAAGGAAAGGGAGGTAATGACATTCCCGATAATATACCCCAAAAAATCCACTTTTGGTAATGTAAGATTACCGGGAATGACATTCCCGGCCAACCAAACGGGGGAATGTGGATTCTATTCCCATGAGAATCTCACATTCCCCCAACCAAACACACCCTTATTGTAATCTTCCAAACTCAACCCCTACGAAACTTCTGTTGCGGAAGACGGCTATCGGATAGAGCAAAATCGCAACTGATAATTTGAGAAAATAAAATTGAAGATAAAAGAGACACAAAATTTACGTGGAAAACCCCTGAATAATATAGGGTAAAAACCATGGGCAACGATAGAAGAATTTCACTATGAGAGAATAGGAATTACTTCTCTCAATCGACCAAGAAGAAAACAATGATAATTCTCTCTTGATAAAAAGGAGAAAACAACTCTCA